CTTTCGAGGAATGCTTGCCCTCTTTAAGGTGATAAACAAGTGCTTGCTAATGGTCACTTACCTGTCTCTCACTGCCCTTCTCCAAATTTCTTGAGCCTGCAAGGAGAGGTTTCCTCCTAGTTCTTATCTCGAAGTCAGCTGGATCTTGCATAGCCCACAGCACAGCCGCTTAAATGAGCTGGAGCTGTAACATGCTCCTGTGCTCGCTGTGAAATGCTGTGCCATGTAAGGGAGTTAGTATTCCCAGCCGCTTTGCAGAACTTCATCTTGCTTGCGGGCTGGTGAGAAGTGGTCCCAAAATAGCTGCAATTAATCACAGGAAATGTGTGTTATTCAGTTCTCTTCCAGATAACTGTTTACTACAACAGATGTTACAGGAATAAAATGGCGAAAAAGACCACGGGTGGACATTTGGGAGCCGAACGTCAAACTTCTGGGCTTCTTGCAGGCTCCATCCCTTGTATGCGTATGATGGCCAGAGCTGGAAATGATCCTGTTAAAAAGGAACCATCCTGAATTCTCGCTTAAATCTGGGTTGGGTTGACTGGAGCGTGCCGTAGGGCTGCTGCTGTGCTGGCGCACTGAACAGCGCCTGGCTGTTCCTGTGCCCCGGGGCTTGATCCTCTCATCCCGTTTGCTTGTCCGAACAACCGTTGGTTTGCTGGCTGGATGCAGAGTTGGTGTGTCCAGTTCAGACCTTGGAGGGAGGTGGAAGTACCTTGGTTTCCCCCTATTAGATGATAGTGGGCGTGGAGCGATGGAGGAGAAAGGGTCAGAAGGAGGTATGGGGGAAAAAAAGCAGTTCATGTATGATGTACAGCAAAAGAAGACACGCTGCAACAATGAATAACACTGTTTTAGCGCTGAAATGGCATCTAAAAGGCAAATAAGATCAAATTCCCTCTTCTTAGAATTTGTAATAAGGAATTAACGAATGAGCCTGTGTTTGCCAGAGCCTGGGACAAGGCAGTAGTTGGTGGGAGAAGGGCTGAGCCGTGCCTCAGCCGCCTGAGTTGCAGGAATAACAGGGTGCTCCATCGTGAGGACCTGCAGAAAGTGGTTCCCTAAGTATAAGGATTTTCAATACGGACCGTGGGCAAGTACTTGCCGCAACGCCTGGCCTTTCCCTGCTTGTCCTGCACCCCAGGAGTTTGTTGTAGCAGCGTTTTGCTGAGAGAATTCTGGTACATACAAGAGCACTGGGTGCTTTGTTTATCCTAAAGCCCTTTAACTAACAGAGCTTAAAGAGCGAGTGGCCATAACCCAGGAAAGTAAACACTTGTTAGCAGTGGCAGAACTTCAAGCAGTTACAGAAGAAAAGTATAAAAACTAGAAACTGCAATATTGTGCTTCACCTGAGGTCAGCCTCTTGTTTTCCCGAGGTTTTCAGTGGGGCATCTCTTTGTTGTAGAAACCCCAAGACGGCATGGCAGCATCTGGTCTGATCTAGATTAACAGCAAATTTTGATTTTTTTTTTTTTAATAATAAAGAGAAAAGAATGAGGCAAATGTCTCTGTAGCATGTTTCTGAATTTATTTCTTCCAGCGGTTTTCAATTCGCTTCTTCACAGGGGCTTCTTCATTCCTCTTAGCAGAGCCAAAAGGTCCTCTAAGAAAATTGAGAAGATCGGGTCAGCGCCTGCCCGACCACTTGGCTTTACCTGGTGCTTTGGAGTGCTCAAAGGCAACCAGTAACGCGCAACGGATTCATTTGGTGCTGGAAAATAATTTGGGAGTTGAATGTATCTTAAGCTGAAAGAGTTTTGTTATGTTCGTATATACTTATTTCTCATCGCTTTTGTTCACAGTTAAACACGATGCTCCCATCACACAAAGCGCTGCAGTGCCCAGGGAAGCCCGGGTGCAAGCGAGGGGTGTAAAATGTCAGTGAGTAAATGAAAGTAAAGGGGTTCAGGGGGTCTCTGGGTTGAGTCCTCGTAGCCCCACTGTGGGAACCAATTTTTTTTATAGTTCGCTAGAGCCGAAGAAGCCTTTTTTGAAGGCTTCTTGTCTGTGGTCAGTCTGCAAAACAGTCTGTTGTATTTTGGCTATTGATTTCCTACTTATCCTGTAGAAACTTGGTATTTGCAGGAAAGTGTTTGAATCGGGACTGGAGAGCAAAATCCTCATCTGTTCTGTGAGTTCAGTTTTGCGGTTACGTTCACGCAAGCGTCTTGAGTTGCAGTTGAGGTGCAACAGTTGGATCTGTTTTAATTTGCCCCTAAATTTCTGAATGATTAGGATTTGGGGGTTTTTTGCTTTTTGTTTTGCATGCAGCTCTGTGAAAACAAATACCAGTCTTTAATTAAAAAAAATTCTGATGGCTTCTAGTCAGGAGACTAAACCCGGGAAGCAGGAACTGACCTGGACGATGGAAAGGCAACCAGCAACGTCTAGCAGTGAAGCAGCTTTCCATAGTCATTTGAAAAGGAAAAACACAAGGTCCCATGGCTGGATGGCAGTAAAAACAACGGATATCTTTTGCTCAGGGGCTGTACAGTCGTGGTAAATACGCTGCTGCTTAGGAGGGCTGAGCAGTGAAATACGCAGTGGTGATGTTTTTAGATGCAGCCTCAAAAAGACAACTTTGCTCTGGGTTTGAATTTGGTTCTATTTTATGTGGTTCTCAGACCACAGAAAGAGCTTTTGTTGTGGAAAAATGAGGTTCTTATTCATCAGAATTTAAAAAAAAAAACCACAAACCCAAACCACAAAACTTGTTCAAACTCATACTCCTCTACTTTTTTGGGCTGTTTTTTTCATGAAACAAGATATGGCGCCATGAATTGACTTCGAGATGTTTCACATGTCAAACTGGGGACTTCCACCCGTCCCACCCTTCCACTCATCTCACTTTGACGTTGCTCTCCCCTGTCCAAGGCTGAGCTTTATTTGCTTCTTTTCCCCCTAGGTTTTTTGATTGCAAGCGAGCCCAGCTTGTGTGTGCATGAGGGGGAGAAGCGTGAGGGGGAGAAGCGGGATGGGGAAAGTGCTTTTTTACCAATTAGAATGTGCTTTTGTTTTGTTTTTTTTTTTTCCTCCCCAGATGCTTGATTAACAAAGCTGCTCTCTTTAAATCTTGGCCTGGACGTGGGAGTGAGTGAGGTTTAATGCAGTTGCCTTGTTTGAAGAAACCTGGACTAGAGGCAGCAGAGCGAGAAGTTTGTTAATGGCTTGTCTTCTGCTGTGCTGTCCCGTGGTGGTGATGAGGGATGTCGTTGAGCCGACCTGTGAGCGTGCAGAGCTGATCAGGATGCGTTAAAGGATAACTCACTGTCATGGGATTGCAGCTCATCCTGTTTTCTTGGGATCTGGGAAAGAGAGCAGGCAGAGTTTGGCGTCAATCGCCGTGACGGAGGTTGAGCTTCAGGGTGACAATAGCCCTTCTGCTGGGAAGGTTGAGTGGTGGCTGAGCACCAGAATCCCCTTCGTGGGAGACTTAAGAATGGTTTTCACGTCCAAGAGGCTCATGGTAAAAGCAACAAGGAAAAGCATGTTTATGTAATTGCATTTTAGAGAGCTCATGGTAATGCAGACAGAAAGCGGAAACCACAGCCGACGAGTGGGGTCTTGTTGCCTGCCTTAGGGGAGGGAGGATGGACTCGAGCTCCAGTCTCCCCGCCTGGTCTCTTTGTGCATCCCCGATGGTCGGAGACGTTCCTGAGAACTGGCTTCTGCCTTGTGTTTCAGCTTAGGGAAGAAGTACATCTGCCTTCCCGTTGTCCTTTCTTTGAAGTAGCGGTAGCAAGAGGGTCATTTATTTTTTTTTTAAAAGTGGGGATGAAAGAAGCAAGCAGTGAAATAGTCCCGTCTGCCGGCAGACAAGCAGCTGGCCCTCGGTGACCTTGCACCATGAGGTGCCTTACGGTATCTGAGGAAAGGAAGCTTTGCCCGTCATCTCCTAGCACGTCCATAGCACAGTGTCTGCTACTTGTCCGTGTTAATTTTCTTGGTTCCGTGCCTAGCCTGTATATTCAGACTCCCCCCCCCCCCCAGGAACAGGCTTAGGAGATAACAGCAATTTTGCTTCTTGAAGAAAGATTTCAGAAAGCCCCAAGACTTTTTCGTACAGATCTTTTAAGTTTCATGGGGCTGGAAGAGCACTTCTTCCCTTACTGGGTTGCAGCATTTCTGGTTGGTTTTGTGTGTATGCGTACTCAAAGATATGGATGTTGGCCATAAGCATTTGAAGGAATGGTCAGCAGCTCTGCATGGTATAAACAGCTTTTTTATCTTTATGTTTTTCGCTCTGGACCTTACCGTGCAGTGTCATGGGAGCCTGAGTGAGGGCTGTTGTCCTGACCCCGCTCGAACGGTCCGGCCCTTGCCCTGGGGCTTGTCTGACCGCAGAAGGAACGGGTTCAGGCGACACCACCACCTGAAAACGAATCCCTCATTTAAGGCTTAGACTTCTGGCGCTCTTAGCTCCCCGATCAGACGGTTGCAGCATCGGGTGAGTGTCAGCGCTGGCACAGGGCGGGAGAGGAGGAGGGGGCGTGGGAACGGGATTGCGGCGGGATGGGTTTGAGCTGCTGAAACACGTCCTTAGCTGGGCGTCGCTGGGGCTGCACCAGGCAAGGATCAGAGCAGGAGACCAAGCGCTGAGCCAAATGAACAACGACCCTGGGCTATGAGACCAGCTTCCTGAGAGCCTCTGCAGCTTTGCAAATTTAAATCTGTTCTTCTAAAATAACATTTACATCATGCGCATTTGAACTTGTGGTCTCATTCCCGCTTCCTTGTGCCTTGTACTGTCACTGACACCTTTGTAAAGTGGGTGTAAAATACTGATGTTCTATTTAATTCTATTTAATATTGTTTTTCTCACCGTGAAATGCATATCACAAAGATGAAGGCAGTGGGGAAGTCGAGACCACTTAAATTTAAAAATCCCCCCCTTTTGTTCTTGTTCAAACCATGTACTTATAGCTGCTCTGAATTCTCTTATTGCTTGTTCAGCGCTGAGCAAGTGCAGAAGGATGGGCAGTGGGAGAGGGACGATGGAACATGGGAGCGCTCAGGATAACGTGAGGAGGGACCAAGTGAGTCATGCGTTAGTCATGTCGCTCCCTGCACCACTGGCAAGCATCGGGCAGTAGTGATGTGGAGGACAGTGGCGTCTGCAGAGATCTTTATAATGAAAATAAAAGTAAGGCAGCAAAATGTCAAGCTCGCAAAAGCTAGAAAGCACCAGAATTAGTGTTAATTAAATCAATGCTAATTAAAAAACACTGGGCTTTTTTTCTGAAGTTATGTGAAGCTATTTTGTTTAGTTGTGGGGCTTTCTTTTTTTAGTGCAGAACATGGAAAAATAACAGCAGAGAGTTTTGTAAGCAGCTGAGAACGGGGTGTTGCAACGCGAGGTGGTGGACAGCAGTGTTGCTGGAAACTACCATTAGAGAGGGATTTGTGCCTGAATAAGTAGGCAGTATTGTTGGTATTTCTCTGCGCTCGGTGGATTCAGCAGAGAAGAACCAGCATGTTTCATAAAATTATGCCAGGCTGTGATTAAATGCCATTCTTGCTGCTTTATCCATATTCCAGTCCTTTATTTATAGCACGCTTCTGCATTGCAAATGCAAAAAGGTAATTTGCCTGCACGTGGCTGGAGAGCACCCAGGGCAAAGGAGTCCCAGTATTCAAGAGCAGCTGGAGGTCCGTGACCAGTGGTGTCCTTTCTGCATCTGCGATGGGCTGCAAATTCTGCTGGGGAGAAGCCACGGGAGAGAGAGCAGCCGCTGGGCCGGGCTGCCCGTGTCCATTTGGCCTTGCCGATGTCCAGATGAGAGTTTGGGCTGCAGCGAGGCAGCTCTGGTGCTCAGCCTGCATCTGCATCCAGATGAAAGAATCCAGACTGATGTTTGAGTGATGATGTACACGTATCCTGAGTGCTCTTAATATATCAATATTTCATGGTCCGGTGCGCCTTGGGCTTGCCTAAATTCTTCCCCCCGCCCCCCTAAATACTGAGTCAAAACTGCTCTCCTTTCCTTTGGAGCTGCCCATGATCTTTCCAGCCTATTTCGCAGACACCTTCCCCTTTCTTTCAGACTCTGTTCCCAGTTCTCTGGATCCCTTTCTGGTCCTTCAGACACTTTTGCTGCTCCCGACGAAGGCATCTTCACCAGCTTTTGCAGAGCGTTATCCCTATGCACGCACATCTAGATTGGGTTTTTGCAAACGTGCAACTAAGAACAAGCCCAAACCATAAAGTTATGGTTTCCCTTACATATGTTAAGGTTCACAGTCCGTCTTCTACTCTGTGTTTGTGTAGGGACTGGCACAATGAAACTCAGCCCTAGTTTAGTGCCTGGACAATTCTGCAATAAATGTAAGACATAAAACTGGGTTTGTACTTAGTCTCATCTTTTACCTTTCTCATTCTTCCCATCAAGGAGAAAACTACTTGTTCCCTTACTGAGACTTTAAACTCTTTTTAGAGCATTTGAAAATGTAATTTCTCAGCAGTGTATGGGTGCAGGAATCTCTTCACACCAGTCTCTTCCCCAAAATCGGGGACCCCGTGGTGCCGCTGGTCCCGCGAGGTGGGTGCTAGTGGGAATGAGGACAAGCAGCACAGGGGCGGTGTTAAAGACATTGCAGGGTGGGAATTCCGTCAACAGCATCGCTCGGCGTGGGAGGTCTGGAGCGTTGTCATCGGGTTTTTGTGGCCCGAGACATCTCCCAGGAGTCCCATAAGGAGGATTAAGCAGGAAATATGTCTTTTGGGGGGGGAAAAAGTAAAGGATATTTTAGCAGCTTGATAGTATCCCTTTATTAAAGCATTATATTGGTATCCTGTTCATAGCAACACTGCTATTAGCAGGGTCCAAGTCCTCACCTTTTCCTTTCAGGCTTTCTATCACAAATTACCAGTGGATAGCTTCTATATTATTTCTTTTTAGTTGCTACTTAGTTCTGCAGAGGAAATAGAACCTTTCTCTGCAGCAGGTGAAAGGCAATTTCTAACTGAACACATTTTGTCTTTTTTTCCTGTCTTCCAGACTTCATTTTATGGCAGATTCAGGCACTTCTTGGACATCATTGATCCGTGCACTCTCTTTGTTACTGAGGTAATGTATACGCGCCTCGTTTTCTGAAAGTGCTGTTTATTAGACAGGTTTGGATTAAAAACAATTTCTTCTGTGAACAGCAGAAGTAACGAAGCCAGGTTTCCAGTGGATTTGTGTCTCACAGTTGATTGATTGCCCAACTGAGCTCAAATCCGTAGCAGAAGCTTGCTCTTTATTAGACATCAGTGAATCCACACCTGTCAGTCTCCCATCTCCCTCTAGCAACTGGTGAGACCCTGAACTGGTTTCAAACTTGCCAGTGATGCCTCCTTCTCAGAAGGAAAGGTCCTGCAAGAAAAAAACCGCAGGTGAGTAGGTGAGAGAGCAAATATTAATGCTTTGTGGAGGAAATGAGCTGCAGTGTGAGCTGGGTGGGCTCGCACCGCACTTTTTCAGTGGCTGCACTCAAGAAGACCTTTTCTGAGCAAGGTGGTGTAGTTTTTCCTTAGTTATTACCCTGTTTGTAGCAGGCTTTTGGGTTTCTGGCCCATTTATATTTCATTTAGCGTTGTCCAGCATTACGGCATTTCCCTGCTTTCATAAAATATTGAGCTAATAGTTGTGGGGAATCCTTTAGAAGAAATATTTCTACTGGTGATCTTAAATTCTGCCTGTTGACCAGAAAGCTTAGGATTTTGCTTTCAGTGAAGGGCAGCTGCCTCTTCCTTTTTTTTTTTTTTTCCTTTTCTCTTTTTAATTTTTTTTTTTGAGGTGGAGTAGCGTAAGATGAAAATACATGAGCAAACAATTCCGAAAACACAGGGAGCTGAACTGCTCACTGTAGCTACTGGTGAACTGAGTCCAGTTCCTTACACACTGTGATGGCGGGGGGAAAAAAGACCCTATACAACTTTAAATCATCTTTTCCTTTTAAATCAACCAGCTTTTTTCAAAAAACATAAGGTTAAGATGTATCGTGACATTCATTTTGAGTACCTTTTGGATGTGTGCCCAGGAGAACCGCAGACAATAGAGCAGCTGTTCTTACACCATCACATTGAAGATTATACTTTCCCTTGTAAAAGCAGGGGTTCAGATCAAGTCCGAGATCAATTTTAAAAAGCCACCAACCTTGATATGGAGCTCAGCCTGGAGAGGTAACAAGCTAGCGGAAGAACGTCGCAGCTCCAAAGAGACTGTTAGCCATCATCGTGTCAGGATAAAAGGGAATGAAAATCACAATATTTCCTGAGGATGCAGTGCACTTTGTAGATGCTAGAGCTGCTATTTAAAGAGGACGTAAGCATGTATGCCAGAATAAAAACAATACTACACACTAAAGGCTTGGTGCTGCTCTTACTTTAGCAGAGATTTAGTGTTAAGTGCCACGCGGTGTGTATTGAAGGAGTGGGTTTGACAGCGTGGGGAATCCTCCAGTGTGCGTTTGTGGTGATGCAGAGGCCGTTGTATGTAGTTTGTGAGCTCTCTTTATGTATTTTCATAACTTTGATTCTGAAATTCATAAATGGATGCAAAGGGCCTTCACTACCTAATGATAGTTTTCGGAGGGAAGGAGAGGATACTTTGCATGCAAAAGGGAATGGGATGCTGGAGAAGGGAGACTGTCTTTGGCCATTTTTGTCATGCGCTGAGAATGCTAATTAAACACCCAAAGACAGTGGGGAAACTGAGGCTCAGAAATATACAGATCCAGACAAACATTGAAAATCCCCTCTCTTACCAGGCTACTTTGCACTAGAAAGCTTTGCAGAGTTGGTATTTGGTAGGCTTCCGTAAGTGTGTGCCTTCCAGCCTGCTGCTCTGGGGCACGATGTCTGGGACAGGGTGTGCTCGGGGTATTTGAGGACGAACACGGGTCCTGGGCTCCAGGCAGCTGCACCAGGAGGTCCTGAGTTGAGGTCACTTGGAAGAGAACTTCTTGCAGTAGGACAGAAGAAACAGGTGACTCTGCTCATCTTTTTGGTGGATTTTGTTATGCCTCAGCTTGTTTTCCTCTTTTTGGAGGAAAATTCTGTTGGGTGGAGATCATCCATCCAGTTCTGTTTAGCTAAAATTTCTCTTCCTTTGGGAACGTTTCCATGTTCTAATAATAATCCTCCCCTTTCGCGAATCTCCATTTAAGTCTGCAGCGTGTGTATGTATGTAGTTTATTTTTTTTTTAAGCTGGGTAACCCACTCTGCATAATGCAAGACCAAACCTACTTCTCGTGTACCTCCGAAGTGGGGGGATATGAGTGAACTTGACTGAGTTAGTGATTCTACTTTCTGCAGTTACAAAACAGGTTTAGGGAGAACGCGCTGTGTCTCCATTTGGGATGGGGTAAGCACTTTCACACTGTGGTTATGGTAGTATAATGAAACAATTTAAACTGAGCACTATACCTCAGTCTGGTTTCACTTGTGTGCCCAAAACCTGTAATTCTGTCTATCTGTAACTTTGTTACCTCCGGCAACAAGCAGTTCTGGTTCCAGAACAGGTATTTTAGGTTCCTGAAAGGCTCACTTTTTCCCTCCTTTGTGAATTTCTTACTTTTTTAAGGGCTGAATCTCTTCTGCCCTTGAGGGCAATTTTCTTTCTTGTCACGCTCCATTGGATATAGAGGGTGTCTAGACTTTCGAGTAAGCTACCTGTGAGTTGGGTACCTGCTCTGAACTTTGAGATGATCCCTCCTGCGGCTCAGCCGCATGCTTTTCTACCTTCCCGTTGTCCCCTTTTCAAATTGTTAGAAGTTTTTTGAAGAGGTTGGTAAGGTTAGAGGTACAGAGTGGTCAGCTGGTGTAACTTCATTGTTCCGGACACCTTTTGACGAGGTTCTTCTAAGAAGGTGAGACCTAGGGGAAAAAAGAGCAAAATCCGAGTAGCCCGTTTTTATCCTGGAGGCGGCTGTCAAGATCTGAGTGCCTCAAGCAATTCTGGACCCCAAACTGATCCTCAGCAAACGAGGGAGGTTTGGTGTCCTTCTATGGAAGGATATAGTTCATAGGTCTGGACTTCATGGTCTCCAGGAATGGCTCGGTGGCTGTCCAAGGAAGGAAATGCCCTCCGTCCATTTTCTTTGGGAGTTTGAATTATATGGTAGTGGTGCTTCAGTAGGCCTTCTGCCGTGTGTTTCGTGAAGTCTACGTGAGCTCTCTCTGCCTAGAGAAGTCTCTTGGCAAAACAGATACGAACACCTGGGACCATGGGAAGCACTTCTCGGAGCACAAAAGCTGCTTTGTTGATTGACCTACTTGCTGTGCTCCGTGTCTGATCTTGTGCTTTAAAATACTTTGTATATACGCGTAACTAAAGGCTGTTTGGTTTCATTTGATAATTTAGGTGGCAAATTAAGATCTAGGCAGCGTTTGATGAGAAAGCAGCCGTTTACGGAGAGCTCCTTCCCGCTGACAGATGGCTGCATCTTTCAGGCCCGGGGTTCTCGGGGAACAAATAAATGGCTGTTTGTCTTGGAGGAGTTCTCTAGCAAACGGAAAAAAACGTAGATAAATGAATCTCTAATGAGAATGGAGGTTAATCCCACGCTAAATGCTGGGAAATGTAATAATTTTTTTTTCTACATCCTTTTTTTAATTCCTGTGTGTTACATCATTGCGTCCTACTGGTGGCTGTGTTTTGAGGAAGGATGAAGTGATCCCTCTGAGTGGGGGAAACCAGGCACAGTGATAGCAAGTTTAATTAGCCTCAGTGACAGTCCTCTCCTACTCCTTTATTTTTTCAATAAAGCAAATTCTTAACACAATTAAAAACTTCCTTGTCTTTTAGAGGTTCTTAAGCATTAATCCTCAAGGGATGCATACTGAGTACCGGATTGTGTTGTAGCCGTACTTTGCAGTCTGTGAACTCTCAAAAAGAAAGCGTGTGCTTGTGCGAGGCACCTGGCAGGGGCGGCTGGAAGCCAGTTGCTCCCGTTTTATCTTTAGTGGGTTCTGGTAGAATAATTATCTGTATCAAACTTACCCACCAATTTTACTTGCTTTCTGAGTGCGTATGACACTGAAACAAGGCACCGACCTTGTGTCAATATTGCATGTAACCTCTAAAGAGGAGGTTTTCTTGTGTGCTAATTCATATAATTACTGGCTTTCTAATGAAATACATTTTTTGGCAGCTGCAAATTTGCAAACTTTTCCAATAAGCAGGAAATGTGTCATTTCAGAGGTCAGGCCCAACAAGTCCTGTTGCTGAGACCATGAGAAACCCCTCAGTGGGTGTAATGCCTATTTTCAAAATGTGTGAGGTTAAAATGATTGGAATAATACTTTTAATTACTCCGTAATTAAGGTCCATCGGGTGAAGCAGTAGGGACCAGCAGATATTTTGATAAGGCGAACTTATCCCATCTGACATTAGCCTGGACAGACTGTTAACACTCTGTGGGAAGCTCTTCATGGAGAAAGCTGTGGATCTGATAATAATTCAAAGCAAAAGTGAAATAAGAATTAAACTGAGCTCAGAGGGGCTGCGTGTTATCTGCTTTTGCTTTATCTCATTGTTCAAAGCACAAATCTACAGAGTGCTGAGCATCTTGCATTCCCATATTTGGGTTTAAAATGGAAGCAGGATTAGATGTATGTTATTTATATGAACGATACCTTCTTACTCAGCAGATTGACTGTCTGTGTTTATTCAGTGTCACATCTGCTGGCTCTACTTGAACAAAAAGTTTCTGGCTCCTGTTGTCTGTCACTGTAGATCCAATACAATAGGGCCAGCTGGAGTCAAGTCTGCCGTATGTATCATCCGTAGAGTAGTGAGACAAAATCGGAAACTGTTGAGTTGCTGATGGCAGAGCACAGCTGGATTTCCGTATCCCACGTCGGATTTGTGGTGCCGGTGGCCAGAAGGCTCTTGCTTTGGATCACGTGCCAGTAAGTCATCATTGGTCCGAACCTGAAACCAGTGAAACTCGCAGGCACACAGCGGGTCGTCACTGAGCTAATGCGGCCTCGAAACCCCGATACAAGCCCCGTACGAGCAGAGTGAGATGCAAACTGTTCCAGCGTGCCCTATCCCATCGGTGGATTTTTTCTTAAAAGCC